TGTTTTTTCGGGGTCTCTCGGGCACGTAGGAAACCGATTTCAGACTGCGCGCAGAGTCAACTGCAGTCACGAACCGAGATGGTTATCACTGTACGGTTACGACGTGGATTCGACAAACTCGTCATTATATTCGTCTCGGGGGTTAGAGAAGCGTAAGGGGTTCATCTGATAAGGATATATACGCGCGCGTGACGGTAGGTAATGGCGTACAACTGTGCAAGGAGTATTATATGTATATAGGTACACTACTAGCGGGAGGTGCGGAGAATATCAGAAAGGGGGTAGGTTTTTTTATTTTTTTTTGTTTCTAGTCTTCTTTCGTCGTCTGCCGCACTGCACATTATACTAAAATAAAATAATATTTCCCCTCTCACTCCCCCCCCCGTTTAAATACAATATACTGCGTAGTACACGTCTTTAATAATTCTCTCCACCCTTCCGCGCATTTTACCTAGAACTCAGTTCTGTAGGTGAACTAAAAAAAAAAACAACACGTTGTCACGCCGTAGTTTAGACAATACAAAACGAGTAACTCAACCGACGTTTTAAAGTAAACCGTTGTCGATTGTTCGGAAAGTCGGAAATTTTTTCCTATGCAATTTCATTGTAAAAGACAGTACGGAAGTTTATGGATTCGAAAGAGTTATTTGCGTTCGAAACACATACCGATAACCGTTTTGGTAACCATTGAATTCGTCGACTGATGTGGACTAGATACCGGTTCTTCCGAAATTCAAATCGCAATTGAAACAGCAAGAAACATTTTCGCCGATTACCGATGCAAAACAAATTCCTAAAACGAATTTTACTTCGTTGTACTGTGTATTTTTATAGTGATTTTTGGGTCTTTGAAAATGATTATTTTGTTTTTTTTTATCCCTGTGACCTACATGGTTTCGTATAACTAATCGTGTTGGAATTTCAATTGAAATTCCAACACGGGCAAGCTATGGAAACGTCCGAAGACGAGACATTTGACAACGACAGGTTGGCGTTGGCATTGTCCGTACGTTGAGATTAACGCCGAAACCTTCTTATCCGTTTTTGAAAAAACTATACTAGGACTATGCGTTCCGATTGTCTACGAATCCCGCGGGCTCAATGAAATAACGAGCCAGTCTCAGGGCGAGGACGACAATCAAAATATACGATCGGTTACTGCCTCCGTTGAGAATTTTACTACAGCCGTCGGGTTACCGTACGGTGTCATTTTGCGTATTTTAGAGCTGACCTGCAGACGAGGGGGAACAGGCGGAAACCGGAATCGACTCTTCGGGAATTTATATCGGAAATCGTCGAGACCACAGCGCACTGCAACTGTTAAAGCGCGGATCGCTGTTTTAGCTGCGCTTTATTCTGAAAACGGACTTGCGCGATTCAAAATTTCCATTCGGTATAATCGAATAGGCATTTATATATTTCGTCTCAGTTTCTGCGGGAGTTCACTACGCGAATTTTATTGGAACGCCGTTGAAATCGCTATTGGAAATTATTTTTCATACCGTCAGACTATCGCACGAACAAAACGGTCGGCGTTCGTTGCAGCGTGCGGGAAGCGTAGCGCGGTACGCGGCTAAATACAATAGCAACAATAATATGTCGACCGCGCCATAGCGCGCGCGTTAGCCGGGACCACGGAACCGGCGCTTTCGATCCCGTTAACACCGCAGCGCAAAGAGCGGCAAACGGAATATATTAATTTTAAAATCATCACCGAAATCGATAGTCGCGCGAACGCGTGATCGCGATGGCTCCGTTTGGTTTCGGTTACGTTACGCGCGGCGAAATTAATTCAGATTAGCGCGCGAATAAGGGGACTATATTATATTTACTTATTCGGTTCCGGTGTACCGTTATAAATATTATATTGGCGCGCGTAGGCACTGTGGGAATTCGAGAAACTCTTTTACAAGGTGCTATTTAAAAATCGATAAAGCCGTACGGAGCCGGCTGAGCGTGTTTTATAACTTATACGTTTTGAATAAATATTTAATTTTGTTACGCCCGTGAATATCGTATACACGGCGAGTTCAATAAGTGATAGGCACCTAGGAATACGGGTTTTCTTTTTTTTTACTCTATCCAAAATCCGCAGTTATTCGAATATGTACTTTCGTCAGATTGTATACAAAACCTTTTTAAAAGAACAATTCGAAAACACAAATAGTCGTAGGTAATACACCGCAGTAGGCATGACGTTGTTAACTACTAGGATTTTTTATGTATTTATTATTATTATTTTTTTTTTTTTCAAAGTTTGAACAGTTACTTTTCTTTAATGTTAATATGTAAATAACGGTTGCATTTCAAGCATTATAACCTCCGAATCGGCTGTTTATTTTGTTTTTGTTCTGCTATTTTCTTCCGACCGCGCTAATTCATTCACCGTGTGATTAGGTGTATTTTATTAAATGCAAAGAAATGAACCGTACGGTAGTAGTATAGTGTAACTATTGAATAATAATTTTCAATAACCGTAACATACTCGTAAAAACCAACGATTAAAAATCGCATTTAGATTATACATGACAATATAAAAACGAAAATGGAATAATTTATTACGACAGCGGCGTATTCGAGAACGATTTACGGGACAGCGGAGATATAAAAATAAATCTTCATGACAAACCCGTGACGAAATTTATAATTTTGTGAATTTGAACTTCAAATTTGTATAAAAAAAAAAAAAAAATTATATTAATACAGCTCATGAGGGTATCGATCCCCCATACCTCTTCTCCGTAATTACACCTCTATACTACAATGCAATCCTTCGACAATTGCTTCAATATTGAATTTAAAAGTCTAATTTTTTTCTGGGGGGGGGGATATATAATCTTATAATCAAATAACCTTATGTCGAGTATAAGTCAATGCTTTAAACATTAAATTAAAAACCGAAATTCTTACGGATATTGTCGTTTGGATCTGAACGCGAATAGCTCGCGTGGCATTGGCTACAGCCGTTCTCTCGGTGTCTATACTACGAGTAAGTAAAATTTGAAATTGATTTACAGAGTACGCCGTGGAAGTAAAAAAAATGATCTATGCCGCGTAATCTTGGGTTCTTTTTTTTTTCATAAATGGGTTTATATCCGATTCTAAGTGCGCGGATAAAGCTACGCGTTAGTTTTAAAATGATGTGTGTATGTGTGTGTTATTATTTCTTCTTTATTTCGACTCTGAAAAGTGTCACGCAACGTCTTAAAAAACATTGATAATTATTATTATAGTCGTTGATTGTTTTTTTTTTTCAAACAGCAGATATATTACGCCGTAATCTCGTCAAAAAATGTACTCCTGACACAGTGACACCGGATATTTTTATTTATTCATAAGATACGTGCGGTCAAACGTCATTATAAACAATTCATTTAAAACCGAACAACGCCAGTTTTTAATATAATTCATATAGGTTATTGCTAAAGAGTGAAGAGTTCGAATTTTGTAGTCATTCTCTTTTATTATTCTATTGGTTCAATGTTAAGTTACGTCGACTATTAATTTGTTTTGTCTTACGTGCAGGATTAGTGCACGGAATTTTATTTTGCTTTGTTAGGCTTTTTATTACTGTTATTATTATTTTTTTTTTTTTTATTTTAAACGCTCCGTCATCCGAACTGTAGTTATTACCTACCTATCTTACTTCCCCTCTCCCTTAAATAGTTACCTGTGTCTATAATCAAACATAATTACCATTTTGTTTTGGTGATATTTAGTGAAATATTTATCAAACCTTTAAAACACAAAATACCCCCGAAAAACATGTGTCGATTTTGAATCAAATTTTGAATGCGTGCGAATTATTTGAAATAATTGTCAATGAATTTACCAAGTCAAGGCGCTTTCGATTTATTTGTATCGGACGGCTACATTATACGAAACATCGGAACATCTCGAAAATATAATATCATACCGTCTTCGTCGCGAAAAAACGCGTTTTCGTACAAGCAATTTGTGAAAAACGCACACGGAAAAAAAAAAAAAAAAATGCTCGTTTACAACAATACACCGTGTTGTTCGACAACATTGTTATAGTTTGTATCGCGGAGATATCATTCGTTAGTCGTATACCTATACATTATGTATGTATACATACGATCGACGCGGTCCAGGGGGTTGGCCCGCTCATCCCCGAGATCATTAAATTACACGTCTGTCGTATTTTATGGGCACCCGGGGTCGTCGGTTTCGGTAACCGCGCCCTTAATTGGTCACCGGCACCCGGGTTAAGGTTAACGACACGCCATTTCGGACACGAGGTCCGTGTGTATGTTTTCTGTTAAAAGTCGTCCCCTTTTACGCGCGCCGAGGCTTAGGGTTGCTTAGTCCACCTACACACAACAAACCGCCGCCACCACCCTCTCGCGTATACATATATACATACATATATATATATATATAGGTGTAATGATGTCCAATAACAATTTAGGGGAAAAACGGACGTTTTTATTTCGACATTATTAGACCCCCGAAGACTACACGATGTGTTTCGTGTCGCGGGATCTCTCGTATATTATCGTCGCCGTCGTTATCGTCGTTATTACACTGCCGCGCGATTCGTCAACAAACGCGGACGCCAAAAACAAACCAATTTGTCGACCTATTATACTCCGTTGTTTCCCGGAATGTTTTCGGAAATAAACGATTCTTTTTTTTCCGTTAAAATTCTTCGGCCAAACGCGATAAAAAAAAAAAAACCGCGCTTACGCGCCAGGCGGTAAAACAGCACGTATATTATAATGCACAATGCGTAGGAAAATAATACAATATTTATAACGAATACATGGCGGTTCTGTTCGATTATCGAGATTATCGAATCCGAGCATGGGCGTAGATCGTTTTGAATACCGTACGCGATTACAGACATACTGGTGCTGTAGGTTGCGCTGACCGCCGAACTCACTAAACTGGAACGGGACGTCCGAAAAATCGCAACTGATCGAACTCAATTAGTTCGATTAGGTTTTTTTTTTTTTTTCAACCTATAATAGGTTGGTTTACAACGTTTTTAACTTCGCTCTCCGCTTATCACGATCTTCAGCAAGTCTTTTCAATCCGACGTATGTATCAAACCCTACGTCATTTTTCAGTTGAGATATGCACGAGTTTCTTGGTCTTCCTGGTGGTTTCCGTCCTTCAATTGCACCTTCTATTATAGTATGATGCAATTCTTCGTCATGACGTAAAACGTGTCCCATCATGTCCCATCGTCGTCGCTTTATGGCTTTAATTTATTATATTTATTATATACGATATATACTAATCAAAAAGTATCAAGACTGGTAGTATCATTCGGAAAAGGAGCATCGAAGAACAGTAGGATTGGCATCACTTGCTTCTATGACTTTTTCTGAGTACATTTGTTTTTATTGCTTCTCTATAAAATTCTTCGGTTTGATTTCACTGATATTTTTGTAAAATATATTTTTCGAGTTTGGCGATTTTGTAATAAACCCAAAAGAAGAGTAACTTGACAGATTTGGAGATTTTAGAAAATTTGTCTGCATTTTTTTCCAGTTTCAGAAGGATGCAACATTTCATGGTTTTTGCCATTAAATGTCAATTGAAAANAATCGCCAAACGTGAAAAACAAATTTTAGAAAAATATCGTCAAATCAAAACGAAGAAGTTTATAGAGAGAATTTTATACAAATAGATGTGCTCAGTATAAGTCATAGAAACTAGGTTTACAAATCGTTTTGCTCTTCAACGCTCGGTTTCCGAGTAATATTATCAGTCTCGATACTTTTTGATTAGCCCTCGTATAATAGTTATATTAATGTATAAGTAGTTTATTTATTAGTAAATAAAATTACAATTTTTCGATCGAATATAGGAAGATACGTAATTGGCATTGCTCTACGACTGTTTATAATATGATTACATATTTCACGCCTCAAATTTTAGTTTTCAAGTATCTATCTGACAACAAAAGGAGCGTTGGTGCGTATAAATAATTCCCGATTCCGCCGTTATAGCCGACTTGTATTGTCAGTCTGATGAACTCGCGTCACGGGCCGATGTGCAATCTGTGTATTATCTTAAATCGAGATATCTCGGCACGGTAAGAAATGAGAAAAACGATAACGGAAAAGGGTGACAATCGCGAGGGATAAAGCGGGTGTAGTAAAAGCGCTATTACGGGCCTATGAAGTTATAATATTTCACTATCGCGGTCGAGAGAAATCACTGAAAACAGTTTAATCGGGGAAAAACGTTACCTTTATATGTCCAGCAATAACGTGATACGGATTTACAGTTTCTCAAGGAAAATAGATGAAAACATAAAACTGTTGTATTCGAGCGAAAAATATTTTTGAAAATTTTCGGGCCGGTAACGGGAACAACATTGAAATAAATATGACTACCGGAGAATAGTGACGAAGGAAAAACGTACAGACGTACAATAATATAACGTCCCGTAATAAACCGAATTAAATTATCGATAGGTTTTGTTTTTATCAGTGGGACACTATGCACAAATGTCGTTGTCCGCGTGACTGACTATTATGCATTTTCATTTTTTTTTTTCCCTTTTCGATTTTCGTGTTTCGTAACGTCGACTACGATACAACTGCCGAGAAATAGGGGACGACCGTGGAATGTCACGCGCGGTATTTTAGATTTACTTCCGCTTATTTTATACGTATATATATAAATGCGTATATGCACATTGCGGGTAACCATAAATCAAGTGCTCCGAGTATACCGTAAACCGGGATATTACGGGTTATGATTGTTTTGCGGGGGAGGAAAAAAACTCAAGAGACTGGCTTTGCCGGAACCGTCCACTGCGAGGACACGGACCGCGGGGAAAGATAACATGTTCTTAAATGGAAAAGGAAATGCGCCTTAAGCTTCTATATAAAATATACCCAAATCGCGTCTGGCTGGGATTCATGCCGAGAATAGTTTTTGCGTTGTTTCTTAAATCTCGCGGAAAATTTGAATTTAGGACCTTTTTTTTTCGTCGCTTTTCTTCTGTATATAGGTATACACTAGAATATAGATAAGCTAAATCGTCTTTTAAAAATATTCACCGTTTGTATATATTGTTATAAAAAAAAAAAAAAAAAAAAAAGGAAAGGAAAAATGAATGTCAAACACGTTAATAATATCGTTTTGTCGTTTTCTCATAATATTTACTTTGGAATTCCATTTTTTTTTCACCTGTATATTTACGATTGAATTTTATTTTTTTTTTTTAGACAGCCGACCGAAATCGTTCACCTTGTGTCGTCACATTGTAAATTACCAATATTGTTTTGACATCTTAGACTAATTAAATCACCGATGGTCTATGCAAATTGAGCAGCAGTAATTTTTCAACCACGCGGCTATACCTACTTCGATACCGTATTTTATGCAGAGTCATTATTTTATTAAGAATTTGCAGCGGTTGCAGTCCACGAAGACGTTTTTAACGTATGCTTCTCAAACGCACATAAACTGTTGTTTTTAAATAGACCAACGCGCGTTTTTAAATCCATTTTCTGCATAGAGATCGTTTTACTGAATATTTCAATGATAGTTAGATTGAACATATCTTAAACCATAATATTGTACTCGATATAGATGACCGACAATCGAATTCACTCAATATTTCGGCAAATTATTGCCAGTTAGTAGAGTTTGGACTGTATAGTCCGAACTCATTAAAATAAAAGAAAAACACTGATATTTATTAAAATTGTTATTAATTAAAACTCCGAAAATACAATTTAAAAGTAAAAAAAGCGTTTGAAAAAAAAAAAAAATTGTTAATAAAGCAAAATAAAATTTCGTGTATTAAATCCTGCATCGCATGAAACAGTGGCATAGCGGGGATTTCTCTTGGGGGGTGGGTTGTTTTTTTTTTATGTTAAATTGGAACTTTGTAACTTTATTGTGCGATTATGGCATATAACATACATAATTAACATATACTCAATAGTCATCTACGCGTAACACAACACATCTTGTAATGTTTTGCTTTTTCGGCAAGTTGGGGGGGAGGTGTTTCAACACCGAAACGCCGTCCCCCCTCCTCCTCGTTACGCCGCTGGCGCGAAACAAATATTTGTACCTTCGTGTTTGACCGACGAAAGAACGAAAAAAAGGAAACGCTTACAACGTCCGAACTCAATAGTGATAAAAACATAAACAAACGAATCGTCCTGTATACGCACCCTGTGTACTGTTATAACCGAATTCCTGCGCACGCCGCCACCGCAATTTTCTTTCGCGTGCGTAACGCTAATAACACGATACGGCGAATTTATCCGTTACCGCCTGTAAAACAAAAAAAAAAAAACACGAACAAAAACCTAACCATACGATAGTAAAAACGTTGACGTTTCGCCGTTCGTGACGCGGTGTCGGCGGTGCTCGCGCGAGAGACTATATAGTTTAATGGTATGCACCATTATTGTATTATTGTTGCCGGCGGTTTTGTTATTATTTCGTTTTCTCGCAAAACGACTTCGATGTTCTGCTATGCTTGCGCGCGTATCCGAATTTGGAATCGCGACCTTCTCCCCGCCCCTCGTCGCCCTCTTCTCGCCACCGGGCGAAAAGAAGCAAAACGGCGGCGCGGAGGTCGTGTGTATCGACTGCTGCCGCTGGTAAGTCGCCGCTGCGGTAGCCGCGCGGATTCTGCGGGTAAACCCGCGCACGATCTCGCCGAGCAATAATATAATATTATGACGACGACGCAACAACAATAAAAGCATAAATAACGCACGTGTGTGCGCTACTATACGCGCGTACCTGGCGGAAAATAACAATAAAAAAAAAAAAATAAATAAATAAATAAATAAATAATAAACGTATAAAAACAGTAGCGGCGGCAGAGTGTGGTCATCTCCTCTGCGAGGAACGGTCGCCGCGCGCAAAGGGCGCCCGCCTGTGTCACGACCGGAACCGATATACTCTTCCCCTCTCGCCCGCCCCTCCGAACCCAATACGCGCTATTGTGTTATAGCGCACGGCTCGTGTGCATTGTTTTCTGGTACGGGTACGCGCGCGCACGCACACGAAATAAAAAAAAAAATGTAAATATCGCCGTCGACGACGAATTTTTTTTTTCCCCTCGCCGAACGCGTTACGCATTTTGCCGCACCGCCGCCGGTTTCGCCTTACCGGGACGCATCAGACGACATATTATTATATATTTTATAAATTTTATTATGCTCTGTCGGGTTTTCTGTCCCGCAGCCGCAGTGTTTTGCCCGGGTCGCCGCACCGGCCGGTCTTTTTATTATTGTTATTATTTTTTTTTTTTTTTTTACGCGTCGACATCGAAAAATCGTCGTCGTCGTATTTTATTTGCGCGCGCGCCGCCGTCGTCGTCGTCGTTCCTTCGGACGACCGATCGCGAATATAATAATAATATAGGTACCTGTACCCGTATGCGTACAGTAAAGTAATGACTGGTTTTTCTACGGGCAAAAAAAAAAAAATAATAATAATAATAAAAAACGTATATACGGCGGCGCGCTCGTGCCGCCGTCCGGTCGCTGTCGTATCGCGCGAGTACATGCAACGTCAACCCAAAAACGGCCGTTTCCGTTCGCACCGCAGCGTTCGCAACAATCCGTGCTGCCTGCCTGCGCGTCGTCGCCGTCGTCGTCCGCGGGCCCGAAGTGGACGGCGGCCGGACTCATGACGCGACTGCGTAATGAGCGGAGTATAAGGCCGAGACGGACGTCCGTGCGTCGTCGCGCGGGCAGAGGTGACCGGCGGTCCGGCGGCCAGTCTAGCCGTCTTCGCGGGTCGCCGGAGACGGTCGGTCGGTGTCGGACCCGGTGCCTGGCGACGAAAATGTGAAGGAGAAAAAAAAAAAGGGAAAATCGGTTCCTCTAGACCGGTACGCGAAGACGGACACCAAGAGCGCCGGCCTACCGCGCGGAACGGCGGTCCCGTCGGTCGTCGAAATCTCGTTTCGCGTCACACAGAACACGTGACATATGCATACCGTACATCGTATTGTAGGCAAATCAACGCTGTCCACTGAATTCCGCTCAGAATCGTTACGTTCGTTAGCAATGGTTTATCGTCGCTAACAGATACGTAAAATTCCTGTCTGTAGCCTAGCTTCACAACATCTCACCAATAACAGTGGCTGCGTCCATGTGTGAAGTATGTCCGTCATTTTTTCATATAGTTTTATAAACTTTACGGTCTTGTTAAAAATCTAAATTTGTACACATTTTTACGTTTG